TTCAGGAGTGGTGCGCTGTGGGCATCCCGAAATCTACCTGTGGTCGGGATTGTCTAACTTTTGACAGGCTATTTGTATACGAACTCTTATATATTGTATATTTGTATTGGTTACCTGGAGGAGGTCTCTACCTGTGATTCCCTCACTCCATTCGGAACTACCAGATTGCTCAGTACCTGGAAGTTCTCTGCATTTACCTTTTTGATTTAGGTGTATCCTATATACGGTGGTACCGAAGCGCCAAATTCAGCGATTCGACACCTACGAGGATAAGCCACAAGGTCACACGCCAACCCGACTTTCGATTTATTTCTGGTGTTAACATCCTAGAAGTTGACCCCCAAGTCCGGGTCTCACTATACGCCCCTTTGTCGGCGGAGTGTTCACCGCGCTTCACCACACCAACGCCACCGCCACCATCAACGATGTCGTTACAGAGTGGACGCCTTGGGTCTGAAAGGGATCTGGCATTCCATCTCCGAGCCCATTCGATTGTTCCATTAACCTAGAGCAAGTATCCCAGGGCATTCAAAGCGTGGTACAGCTGGACAACACGGCGCGGAATTGACCCCACTCTGATCAGCCTTCAACTGACAGCACGATTACAGATTACCACGGGCTTCGTATTACATGGGTTTCTAGACGGCTTCGCTTCGAGGCCCCGCGCTTCGAGCCCCTGTATCCGTGGCTCCACCATCGCTACCACACTCCATGATATCCATCAATTCTTCCAGGCAGCAAATCTAAACTTCCCCAGCAACCACACGCAAACGCGCATGCTCCTGAAAGGCATCAACCGTCTCGACCAGCCCGTTCGCCACAAAGCCCCAGTCTCTCTCAACCTTTTAAAAAGGTGCTTTACCTCCCTCAACATGTCGCGTTCTTCCGATTAACCACTTTGGGGGGGTATTGTGTCTCTCCTTCTTCTTCATACTCGGTCGGAGATTGCGTCTTTAGGCAAGCAATTTGCTTGTTCCCGCTCAGAGCAGGAGATGTCATCCTGGTTGACTATCCCGGCTCCGCAACCGCTCACGCTCGCGGAGCCACGTCTGTTCACATTCGATTGCGAGGCTCCAAGACAAACCAGCGGGGTGAACCAACACTCCGAATGCTGAATCGCTCGGGCCACGGTTTCCTCTGTCCAGGCTTCGGGGCTCTATGTCTGTTCAAGGCAAGACACCCGCTGCCGGCTGACATCCCGATTGTGGTGTTTGTCAGCGCGCACAGTCATCCAGACTGCGTGTCATCGTCTGCGATATCAAAGGTGATCCGCCAGGCGCCGGTGGAGCTTGGCGATGATCCGGCAGACTTTAGTCCGCACTCACTGAGAGCCGGCGGAGCGTCACACATGTAGCGGGCAGGAGTGGATACGCCCACAATTCAGTTCAACGGAGAGCGGTGCATCTGATACCCTCAAACAGTACACGAGGTTCTACAAGGCGTCAGTTGAAGCACTTCCGTCAAAGATGACCAGTGGCTCAAGATCCATGCGCCGACTTCAGTAAGAGCTTACGGTCCCATCCATTATTGGGGGGGGGGGGTCATCCCATCCATAAGATCGAGTTGAAGATGATCCGTAAGCTCTTGCTGAAAAGAAGTTGCTTTTACCCCTACAACTACACTAACGAGGAAAGCTATTTTGTGTTGACTCACAAGAGTGACGCTGGTGCGCAAGTATTTATTAACACACTTTACGAGCAGTCATAATGGCTTTTCTTCTTACAAAACAATATAGAATTCTAAAAGCGATCGTAATGATTCCAAGCTTTTAGCTCATGGTATAAATAGGTATAAGAGGGAAGCTTTCAAAGTCGCGTTAGCCACCTCCCTCGAATGCAACGAACACAATTTTACTGTAGTAAACAAATCCTACACATATTATTCGATGTCATCCCTCTAAAAATGTTCGAAACTCTCCTAAAAAAAAATAATTCTCTCAACTGGCCTGTGCAGTGCGCGGCTCAAAGCGGAGCTTATTCCTGGACTTTACTTCGCAAATACCGGGCAGTCCAGCTCCGAGGGTACCTCGCGCGGTTTGTTTTCTCTACGCGCGCTTGCACCAGCTCTCCTGGACCTTAGTAGCATCAAATCAATATTGAGGGTATTTTAGGAATCTTTAAGACCCTGAGATGTCCTAAATACTGATTTAAAAACTCCCTGTCGTCCCAGACCAAAG